TAAAACTCAAGGCAAAGGGTAAAGTTGTTCACAATACGTTATAAAATTCGTTGTAATACGGAAAATTAGCTATGTTCCAAGCAGAAAGAGTGGCTTGGGAGTTTACTTAAGAAGTATTCGCTAACTTAAAAAGGCTCCTAATATCTATGACAAAGATACCCCATGACTGGCCGGTTCCTGCGTTGGACAACTCGTACAGGAACACCATTAACTTGAGCTCGTAGTGATACGCAAAATACCCTATACTACTATCACTTTTACATTGTCAACAGTTTTCTTAAAACAAAACCCTTATCATTAATGACAGTAAATACACTGGCTATTTTTTTCTGGCTACTTTCAAAAAGAGTAGAGTTTTACGCGAAACATTGTTCAAAAAAAACAAAAAGTCACACTTGTCGGAATGTACATGTTCAGCAGGGCCCTTATCTTTACGAGTTCAAGTTGAGTGTTTCACACAGGAACTAGGATCAATGGGGGGGGGGCATCTTTGTCGAATAAAGCGCAAAACACATTTTAATAATTATATTTGTATTTCGAGTCCCTCTCATGGACTTCACCTCCTCCAATGCACGAGGTAAATGTGACGGTAACTTGTGCCGTCGACAGTACTCGAAGTATATAATTCCGTAATCAAACCGTAATCGAGTTCCCACAAATCGACAACATCGCATCCGACCAGGGTCACCAGCGATTACCTGCCCAGCCTTGTAATCCCGTTAGCGCTAAAGCTCAAAGAGCTCGAAGTGCACGTCGAACTTTACATTTATCACTTTCGAAAATGTCATGCTTGTGTCCAGTACAGCGCGTACCATGGATGCAGGGCCACAAACCAGAACTGCCACGCGGTCTTTACCGTCTCGCTTCGCCTGTTCACCCAGCTCACGAAGAATTTCTATGCAATCGAATCGCGACCCATAGTGGAGGTATTGACTAAGCTGTTGGTCTACCGGGTCCTCAATGTCGCGCACGCCCTCTGTAACATAGAATTCGCTGTGGAAAGCGCTGTTCACATCACCATGAAAAAATTCCCGAGCAAAGTAACCAGCTGATCCAGCACTCTCTTCGCCGTTTGCATCTATATTACCCATAAATGCCTTGATAACATCGAGATTCGGAACGGCCCAGGTGAAGCGCACAGTCTGGATCTCAGAGCGGTCGAGAGTGTATCGCTCATAGTGGAGCCAGTTGAGAATCGAGCGCATCGGTGTTATGCCGATGCCTCCAGCGAAGAGAGCAAAGTGTGCGTATATCTCTGGGTTCTCAAGATCAATAGACACACGACCGTAAGCTCCATCCACGAGAATATCTAACGGAGCTCCATCATTCTTCGAAGCCATTTCGAACAATTTATTGGTCCAGTCACCCGAAGCCTTGATGTAGAATGAAACCACGTCTTCATGTGGGGCCGATGATATGGTGAACGGATGCCACTGTAGTCTGGAAATAGTCGGGATACAAAGGAACGCATACTGTCCCGCTTGGAACTCAAACATTTCTCCTGTATCTTTACGCACACGTGGAAAGCTGATTCGTGTGATGCTACCATGCAGAGTGGCCACGGAGACCTGGTCGCTAGCAATAACGCCCATGCTAGTGGTGCTTTTTTTCTTTTTGAAGAATGTTCCGTTATTGTAAATCCTGGCACGATAGACGAGTCTGAAGACTAAATCGACGAGCCATGGGACGACCCCGACCAACGCGAGTGCAGCACCATGAATCACTCCAACAATAACGACAATTAAGAACAGTATCCAGTGAGTCTTCATGAAGATCTCGAAAATTGACGACGGATGAAGTTTAGAGACATCGTTAACAGCAGTATCAGGGCTACAAACGTGACGGTTCCTGTAGTCACTTTGCTGTCTTTATCCTGTTCGTCTCCATGGTGGTGAGCCAACAGATATGCCAA